TCGTTATCAGTGTATTTCAGCAAAATAAATTATTGCTTTTAAACTTAATCATAAGTAGCTTAAGTGTCTTATTTTTCTCTCTTTTTAAGGTTGATTTTGGCTTTGCAAAGAAAATAGGATTTGGAAAGAAGACATGGACTTTTTGTGGGACTCCAGAGTATGTAGCCCCAGAGATCATCCTGAACAAAGGCCATGACATTTCAGCCGACTACTGGTCACTGGGAATCCTGATGTATGAACTCCTGACTGGCAGGTATGGATATTGATAGGGAACTGCTGATAAAAATAGACCAGCAAACAGCTACACACTCTTGCCTTTGTCCCCTCGATTAGATCATCTTAAAGTACATTTCGCCATATCTTAGTACCACACTTGAATTAGTTATGCAAATGACCTGGAATTCATAAAGAAAGGTCAAAAATAGGTCAGATGAGGGCAACCACCTCAACATCAACTTTTGGTCTCATTATTGCTAATTCTTCATACATATGTGAATGTGGAAGGATCCGATGTCTTTTTATGAAATTTTTGAGCCTAATCATTTAGCCAGCAAGGGAGATGATAGTCATATTAAGATACCTAGGATCAACTTTCTATAAAAGTAAGACCTGTTAGCAATTGCTATATCTAAATAAAATGTGAATTCTCTGCAGATCTTTTGTGTAATATTATAATCAACAACAACTAAAAAGGCACTAGGAATACTACAAGACAAAAACCAATACTAAAAGAAAAACAAATACATCACTATGGCATGTGCTAAAGACAGTGAGTAATAGGTTTGTTATGACCTGCAGAGTTCAGAAGAGGGCTGGGTTTGACCAAAGAGGCTTTTGAAGAATGAATATAAGACCACAGCTGGGTCTTGAAGAAAGAATAAGACTTAGACGTAGAAAGCAAAGGAAAGGGCAGTCCAGGCAGAGAGGCATGGCCTAAAGAAAAGGGTAGTAGTGGGCATAGACATGGAAACGGTCTATGTAAAAAAGTAATGGGAGATCAGGGAGAGTCATCTTTTGAGGATTGTGATTGTTGCACCTGAGTATTTGGACTCCATCCAGAGAGGGAATCATTGAGTATTTTCTGACAAAGGAGTGAGTGCCATGTGTTGTTGTATTTAAGGAAAAACAAGTTGGCAGTAATAGGTAGGGCGAATTGGAAGAGGGATGGGAGGGCTAGTGTGAAGAACATCCTCAGGTCTGGAATGCTGAGAGCCTAGAATAGGGTTAAGGCAGTGGAAAGAAAAGATAAATGTGAGGCCGAATGTGAAAGAACTACTTAAGAGGACTTAGTCACTACAGTGAAAATGAGAGGAAGACGTGGGACTCTCAGACTCAGGTTCTTTGTGATTCAGTGACTATATGAGACGCTTACAAGAGTGTCTAGCACATGGTAAGCACCCCATGAGTGTTAGAAGCTACTACCATTGCCACAAACAGCTGTGGTTTGATTTTTATTTGTGGGCATTTTACATTATTACTCCTGAAACTTCTATGTTGACTTCAAATAAATTATCTGTGACCTAACCCAATTTTGTTCAATATTCTCCTTTTGTATAGAGGTAAATTATTTTAAATGTATGACAAATTGAATAGACATGTA